TTTAAATAATAACTTAAGAATAAAGAATTGAAGAATAGAAATGAGGAAATCTAAATATATATTTGAAAGCTGGTGTTCGTCTTTTAAATAGAAAATGAGAGAAAGGACATTGAAAAGAAAATTTGTGCTTAATGTACAAAAACTTAAGACACAGAAGGCTGTCTTGATATTGGTGTACTGTAAAATGATTTCATTTAAAAATCATATACACATTGCTTTTGTGGTTGAAAGCAATCTATGGGTTATGTTACATAAGAGGAAGTGAACCATATGAATGTCTGGGTTTGAATGTTCATCTACTTTATATAATGTTTACTGAAACTTGGCTAGGTTATTATGTTTTTCTGGGATCTAGTATTCTTAGCAAAGGAGAAAAGAGAGCCATAACATAAAGCGATTAATCATGAAGCTGAATATATGACATGAACTGTCCAGTACTACGTGGTCTTCACCATCCATCAGGTATTTATACAGAAACTACACATAGCATAACACTATGTTATATATACTACTATATATATATATAGTACATATATATATGTTATATATACATACATACTACTAGTTTGTAGGGTTACAAAGCCAAGTGGCTACTTTATTGCCCAAGTTGTGTCCTCCTAGCCAATTCCTTAGATTTATATATTATCTAATAATCATATAATAATATAAAATTAGCCATATAAAGTCTAATTTATATATTCTGGAGACAAATGCTTGTGATTTGAATTTTCAATATTGTACCAAAAAAAGAAAATATTTGTTTTGTGAATATCAGGACTTACTACCTTTTAAGCCACAAAAAACTGCTGAACCCTGTGCCTTTCAGCTTCAGGAGCCTGAGAGGGTCCAAGCCCTTATGTTCTGTTCATGATGACATTGTCTGAAAGGATTCTAAATTAGAGAGTTCAGAGTGAACATTAGCATTGGTTGAATAGATGAGAAATAGTGGTATAAGGGACAGGATGTCCTTTTGAGGATAACCACAGTACATTAAAATGGAGAGATGAACAGTTGTGAAAGACTCGAAGATAAGACAGAAAAAGAAAATGTCTAGGAAATAAATGGGAATGAGAACAGCGAGGCCCTTACATTTAGCAAAAACGATCAAGTGAGCAGATGTTTTAACACCACAAGAGATCGTGAGAGGGGCTAGGAAGCAAGACAGGCGCTGGCCTCCTGACCACTTTGATTTTCAATATATTCATTGTATTTATTTAATTTATTTATTATATTATATATATTTTAGTATTTATTATAAAAAATGCAAAGAATTCAGATCATAAAAATTCTTAGGGCAACAAATAATCACTGTTAACAGGTAGAAGTCAGATTCAACTTGTAGGTGAAAATTTATGAATAAACAAAACACGAAACCATAGTTCTAGATGAGGCTTTGCTCTTATGTCAAATATAATGATGCTTATATTTGAACACTAAAGAAATAAAAACCGTACTTAGAGTATATTTAAAAATTTTAAACAATCTTTCCATTAGTTTAGAATGGAAAATGGAAAAGGTGACAACATTTTGATTTTAGTAATAACAAATCCATGCAGTATCATATAACTTAGAATTTGGTTTTAAGTATATTAAGTTGTTTTTCATTGCCCCTACTCCCCATTCTTCAAGATAAGAAAAAACCCAGCCTAGGAAAGGTCTCTATAAAAGATATAAAATGTATAACCTATTTTGTAGGACAGAATAATAAAACCACAAACAACCCAATTCAAAAGTGGGCTGGAAATCCAAATGGCCACCTCATGGAAGACACCCTACAGATGGCAAGTGGGCACATGCGAGGATGCTCCACATCATCTGCCACTGGAGAGTGGCTAATTAAAACCAAAGCTACACAACACCCATTGGAATGGTCAACCAATGCTCTTGAAAGAAGGAAGCTTCATGGTATGTGTCGATTGCCGGTAAAATTGCAAAGTGGGACCCAGTCTCTTACTATGCTAAACATACGCTTCTCCAGTCCAGGGAGCATATTCCTTGTTATCTATCCAGATGAGCATACAAAAACATGTGCATAGATGTTTAGCTTTATTTGTAATTGTGAATAGAAGCATACATTGTGGCACATCTGAGCAGGGAAACATTATTTAGGCTGAAGCAGAAATAAGTCTTGAAGACATGAAAATAAAGGAAGAAACTTGAATGCCCATCGTTGAGTGAAATAGGGAAATATGAAAAGGCCATGCACCCTGTGATTTTTAACAAGGCAAATTCAGAAGTTGCAGAACTCTGGGTCTACAGAAAATGCAATGGGTCTAGCATGGAGGAAAGATTTTTAAGGGCAATAGAAGCACGTGATAAGTAATGATGGACACAGGTCATTTGTTTCTGTCAAAATTTATAATGTTCACTAATGCACAGAATTATCTGTGGTCGTGAGTCAGTGTAGATCAATTGATCATAATAAACACCTTCCCAGGTGGTGGGTATTGGTAGCTGGCAAGGCCATGCGTGGGGTGGGGGCAGGCAGGATGCAGGCAAAACCTGCTCCCTCTTCTCAGTTTTGCTGGAAACCACAATTTGTTCTAAAATAGCAATTATTTCCCTTTGAAAAGGAATGATTCATAACCACAGGATACAATGTGTGATTCTATTGATGAATACACAAGGCAGCCAGTGGTGATGCAGCCTAGGATTTTGTTTCTGTTGGGAGAACGAACTGGAAGAAGCTGTGAGTTGCTTTTCTGGGAATATTAGTGATGTTCTACTTCTTTATTTGATTGATAAAAAGCACCTTGTGAATATTGATAGAGACTTATGCTCTTGGTGTCATTTTTGAGTCTATAATTTATCTCAATATCTCAATGTTTTACTATAAAGGCTATGTACATTAAGAAAAAAACCTAATTATACCTTTAAATTTAATTTCCCAGAAATCATTTGTTTTCTTGTTGTTGGGGGAGAAGCAAGTATCTGTCTTACATTTCTTTCAATAATTTATAAGAAATTAATAAAGCATGGGTGGATCAGTTAGAACTTAGCCAGGAAGAGAAACATTAACTATTTAAAACAGAATTTCGTCTAATGAAATGATTACTCAAAGGATCTAAGAACTGGAAAACTAAGCTGGTGTCTTAGTTACTCTTCTATTGCTGTGGGAGACACAAGGCAACTTATAAAAGGAAGTATTTAATATGGGGCTCATGGTTCCAGAGAGTTGGAGTCTGTGATCATCATGGTCGGAAGTGTGGCAGCAGACAAGCAGGAATGTTGCTGGAGCAACAACTGAGAGCTTACATATTGGGACAACAACCAAGAGGCCAAGGAAGGAGCTGTGATGGTGTGAACAGCAGGCATCCCTCACCAGACAGTAGCACACCTCCTCCAACAAGGTCACTCTTCCTAATCCTTCCCAACCATCTACATCACCTTGAGGCCAAAGATTAAAAAAAAATATGAGTTTTGGGGGCCATTCTCATTTAAACCACCACAGTTGGGATTGTGAAGGAGCCTTAAGGTATTTAAGTCATAGTAAAAGTGATGGGCACTGACATTTAGAGTTCTTAAGAACAAAGGAAGAGGTAGTGTCCCTGGATGTCAGAATGAAAAGCCACTTGGGGAAGCTGGAAGCGATGAAATATCGCCCAAGAGGGTTCAGTCCCTGATGTGGCTGGACCTGGGCAAGACCAGCAATGGACCTGAAGATAAAGATGGCCACAGACAGGCACAAATGCAGAATAAAGAGCTCAGAAACACATTTCTCATTTTCATTTTCTTTTCTGGAGTACTGGATACATGAGCCAAATTGATTTACTAAGATTTTTGAAATGTACTCAGTTTAGTTCTTGGGACTTGCAAACAAATAAAAAAAATCATTGCTTTAGTTCTACACTTAATCTCAGTAAAGAGAATTTACACACCTCAGGACTTGGAGGATCTCTTGTTTTCATTGTGAAGTTAATCAAAACAATAGAGGGTATCTTGGTGTTCGGAAAGCAGTCATTCCACCATACACAGGATTTTGATCTGTTATTTCATTTGCTTAAATTGGATGATGAATCTAAATCTGAATTTTAATCGAAGTTGTTTTCAAACTTGTAATGATGTTACTTTGACTTCTGTTGTATTTTCACTGCTTTAAATTGATTAAACAGTTTTCACTTGCCTAACTTCTAATGTGGAGAGAAAGCATGGGTGCCTGTAGGATTAGACTTACAATTGGTGGGGGCTGTGTCAGTTGCATTGTTTAGTTAAGAACTAAACATGACTCTATTCTGGCCATGGCCATTCTTTAAAGTAGATCATAAACAAAACAATACTGCTTTGAAAGCTCCTCTTGTGACGAAGTGGGGGTTCTCAATGTGACCACCGCTCACCTCCTTCGTTTTCCTCTTCTCTGCTGAAGAGCGGCAGCATGTTCCAGGAAAATTCTATACAACTAATTTGAGACCCTAGTCTTATTGTACCATTGGAGGGTAATTACAACTGATAATTCAACATTGACTTGTTTATTTTATAGCCAGACAAAACAAAGGTGTGTGTGTGCACCTGTGTGTGTGCACACTGTTTATGCTCCATTGTACAGCGCATTGTAAGATTTAGTGTACCTCACCTTTATTGTCTTTTAGTTTTAATTTAGACAATATAAAATCCCCAACAGGAAGCTTTGGGAATTAATGACATGCTAACATTACCACCATCAACCTTCCTTTCCGTTTATGCCATTAACCTGGCTGTCTGCTACCTCATTCAGACTTAATATCCTGAAATATGCTTTCGTATTTTAAAATGTTAGGTAACTTTTGGAATTGAATAAAGTATTGGGGATTTCCCTTCCCCCAGTATAAACCATCTCTCATGTGGCATCAATCCAGATAGCCTCTGTTTACAGAACGAAAACTTTATCTTTAAAAGTCTTTAGTTGGGAACTCCCTGAAAGTACCGAATGAGAGATATTGATACCATGTAACCCCACTTTTTATGCAAAGAAGGAATGCACAGTTTGAGAGATTAGATTAATCAATTTTGTCTTAAGCACTCACCTAAAATTCAATGAAGAAACAGCATGGACCTTCCAGAACCATCTATTTAGTTTTCTTTGAAGTAGCAGTTGATTGTGGCATTTGAAGGCTTCTCAAGTACTCCCCAGGGTTTATAAATCCTATTTATCTGTAATAAAAAAACACACCTGCATTGAGCCATTTATACTAACATGCTTACAGAAACAGGGGTCTGAGTTGGAAGTTGTAGAATACACGGCCTTCTACAAACCCTTTTACACTATTAACAACTTGGAATACTCTACTCAGCAACTCAGCTTTCATTAGCCAAGACAAATGAAGTTTTATTCTAGATGTTCTTTGACAGACGAGGATGACCAGGCCTGGAGGCATGAAGTCACCATGCAGGATGAAGCAGCTGGTTAGCAACGGCTATGAGTTCTTAATATAGCCCTTTATTTTCAGTTGATTAAGAATGAGAAATGAGAGAACATGGACTCTTCTGTTTTCTGAATAGGCAATTTTCTAGAATATTGCACCATCATAATTTCTACTAAAGCCAAGGAAATTGCTGCGGAGGTCAGATGCCTCAGAACAACATGTTCTCTGAGAGCATAAACTTGAGCAGTTTTAAATAGCTATCCCACAGGAGCTGACGAGTGCAAGGCAGCCTAAAGCTATTTAATAATCCATATGGCAATTGTGATATGAAATATCACATATAAATAGTAAATAGTTCATGTCTTTTAAAAGTGAATGTTTTTCAAATATTTTGCTTGCTGAGAGAACTTATATATTAGAAAGAAGAGACGGGCACCCTGTGCCGAAGGTTTCCTGACCCTTGTCCTGAGAGTGACCCAGGTACATTACATGCATCTTCATCAATATCTCTTTCTCAACATGCCCTACCCTTCATCTCCTGGACCGCTCTCTTCTCTCTGCCTGTGGTTGGCATTATTATTGCAGGTGCCAGATGTTTGGAGGGGCAGAAACCTGAAGATCTGCAAGCCATTTATTGAGATAAAGCAAGGAACGAGGAGAGGGCAGAAGGTGAGATTGGAGATGGGAGGGAAGGGAAGAAAGGATCCCAGAGGATGCTGGGTGCCCTCTGCACAGAGTGACAACCCTGCATACTCTTCTTGAGCGTTCTTCAACCTGAGCTGTCTAAAATGACCGCCATAGTGATTGGAGCTTTCCCATCTGGCTTCAGATGTCTTTTGATTTTGAAACCACATTGAAAACTCTCTTTCCTCGCATCTGAACTCTCAGCATCACTTATTATATTCTAAGATATTACTAGAAGATAAACTTCTCACAGGGCAATTAGCTCTTGTATCCATTAGAGTTTACCTTCCCTATCCTGTGTGATATTCTAGTTACACACAACCTGGCATTATTTGAATTAAATGTGTTGTTGCAGTTGAATAACTTTGCTAATTTTTGTTTTCTGAAAGTATGTCATAATTAATTTTTGGAAAATTGGTATTCTGGTAGACAAACAACAGCCATGTATTTGGAAATTAGCTACATATTAAAATATTATCCCCGATCTCATCAATATTGCTTCAAACCGCAGGATGAGAAAATAAATGGGAGCTTATAATACAATTTTTCTATATAATTACATATTTCATACATACACACATATAAGTAAGTTTACACATAACTGACAACATAGACTCACTATTGACTTCTTAGGGTCCCATTTCTGACTGTTTCTCCTCTCCCTGTCAGTCTTAGGCTGGATCCTTTGCATGTTTATTTTCTATTTTGATCCCTGGTCACTGCCGATTGCAGCAGACTCGGAAGACCAGGCAGCATCCACACAGACTCACTGTGTTGAAGAATCTCACAGGTGGCTATCTTGATAAGATTCATAACTTTAATAAAAATTCTACCTTGGATGATAAACTGATTTCAAGATGGTTTTTGTGCTTTCTATTCTTCCTCCACCAAAAAGCGGCCCTGCTTCAGCCTGCAGCTCAGGGATCATGATTAAATACCAGTGTCTAATACAGAGGTAGATCCATCTTTGTTCTTACTGCCTTCTGGTCCCTGTGGTACACCCAGCGCGTGCACAACCTGAGAGTGGCTGCTTCCCAAACTGTTGTGAATTAAAGTCATCAATCCTATTCTCTGGTATGCTGCAGCCTACGGGGCATTGGAAGACAACATTCCCACATGAGCAGTAGGTGAAAATAGAAAATGATAACTTTCTCTCTTTTTATTTTTATTTAAATTATAGGCCAGCTAACTTAAATTCTAGGTTGCCTAACTCAGAAACTTAGAATTTCTAGTGAGAGTTAAGTTAAATTTTAGCGTTAGGACATCAAATCAAAACACTATCTCTTGGTCTGGAGAGATGGGTCAGAAGTTGAGAGCATTTACTGGTCATGCAAGTGTCTGATTTTAGTTCCTAGCATCTACCTTGGACATCGCATAGCCACCTGGATCTCAAGTTCCAGGGATCCTATACCCTCTTCTGATTTTCACAGACACCTGACACATGTGGTGTACATACAAGCACTCAGGCACACAAACAGATACATGAAACAAAATATATATTACCCCTTTTGCTTAGCTCCCTGGGAAATTTCTAGTCAGGGAACAGGTTGAAATTAGAAGTCAGTATCTCACCACAGCCTGCCACAAGAGAAACATGCATTTTGTTGACTATCTTAGGCATATGGTATTGAAGAAAGATGAAGGAAGCAGTTTTTTGCTTACTAAGGGAATTACCTCAAATTCAAGTATGTGTAATTTGAACGGGCCATTTAAAAGAAAGCAAAGAGAGATGGCATTAATCTAATCCGGGATTTCACTGTCCTCTGTGGTGGCGAATTTGACAAGTGACATGAATTCAGTATACAAAATTAGAACAAATGGTACCCTCCTGCCTTAGTAGAATATTGACAAACATGAGATGGAGCCATGTTCTCATGCCCATTCCCTAGTGAGCCCTATGCTCTTGGTCCTCTATCTCTGAGTGTTTTCCTGTGTGGCATGTCTTTTGTCTGATGCACTGTTTATTCACAGTCTCTTCACGGTAAAGACTGACAAAGGCAGAAAATCTGTTCAACACAAGACCTCTGATGCACAGAACTTTGGCTCATATACAGTCAACTTGTAGAACAGCTGGTACATGAATGGACAAAACAGTATATGGAGGAATAGTTTAAGTTTTTATCAATGCTAAATCCAAGGAGATACAATTTTTTTATCACAAAGATTTGTAGGTTCAATATGGAGTTACAAATGATAATCTTTACTCATATAGATCTGAGATATAAATCAAGCCAGAGAAAAACATATCATTAAGTAACATTAATGTTGTAAAGGAGAAAGTCCTCTATTATTTTCTTTTACAAAATTTCTTTCTTTTCTTATAAATACTGGGTCAGTCTTCTATTCCTTATCCCTGTACCTTGCACCAATAATTTTATCACAATCTGATGAAGTCACAATGGGAAATAATGAGGAGCTCAAAAAGGCATTTATCTGCTTTCTTTGTAATGCAGGGGTAGGTGGCCGAAGAACTGAGGTTTTTAGGGCATGCCCTGCAGGTTCTCCCTTCTGTGAGTTAGGCTCAGGAGACTGGAATTCCTAAGGCCAACTTTTTAGAGCACAGAAGTGAAGACAGAAGAAACTGCAGACCTTAGGCTTAGAGATAACACTAGCTACAGGCTTGCAAAGGGCACTCTGATGAAACGCAGACAAGGGTGGCCACTCTGCAATCATACCCACATTGCACTTGGTGACTCTTAGTATTTGGAACTATTGGGCAGCATAGGCTGTAGCAGTTATTAAGGGAAATTGGCTGGCTATGGCTATAGACATTGGAGAAGCAACAGTTACTTATCTGAATAATTTCCAAATGACTGAATAGGCCCTACTTTTTAAAAGTGACCTGAGGCTGCCATATTTACAGACTTCTTGGTACAACCCCAGGCAAAGGCTGAACTTGGGAGTCCTGTTAATGCTCTTCTGCAAACAAACCCTTAGGAAAAACCGGTTCAGCAATGAAGATTCAGGGGAGAAGGGAAACAGATCTGAAAGGTCCTTGAGTCATCTTCTGATGTCCAGAAGACTGTGTCTTATTTAATTCTTGACCACTTTTAACTTGGCTTTGATTTTCTGAATTAGAGTGTCAGTCTAATACAATGGTTTTCAGCCAGTGGTTGAGGGGACATGTGGCCATATCTGGTGGCATTTTGCATTTGCGGGGTTAAGGGGTACAAATGGCACATAACAGGTAGAGGCTAGAGTACTACTGAACACTTTCAATGCACAGAACTCTCCCTTGATGTAGTCCAAAATTACAATTACTAGACCAAGGAACTCTGGTCTAGGTGATTGAAGTTCCTTTCTGTCTGACCTTGACTTTGCAACTTCACCACGGGTCCTACTCAGATCTGTGCGTGTGCACAGGTAAGCATGATTCCCTGTCTACAATGTCCTCAAACTTCACATTCCATATTACAGCCCTTCCTGTAGCTCCAACCTCCTCTATGCTTCACACATGTGCCTTCCTCATGACTTCTTGAATTCTTGAATTCCTGAACCTGCTGACATTGTTATTATGAAACATTGTCTTAGACTTCCTTCCTTCTTTTCTTCCTCCCTCCCTCCTTTCTTCTTAGCCCCTCCTTTCTTCCTTTCTTACCTGTAACAGGAATGGCAGGCCGCTTCCTGCCGCCTGGCTAGCTTTACCTGAAATAATTACACGGAAACTGTATTCTTTCTAAACACTGCCTGGCCCGTTAGTTCCAACCTCTTATTGGCTAGCTCTTACGTATTGATTCAACCCATTTCTAATAATCTGTATGCTACCACGAGGTCGTGGCTTACTGGGAAAGATTCAGCATGTCTGACCTAGCGACTGGTTCCATGGCATCTGCTTCATTGCCTTCTTCCCAGCATTCTGTTCTGTCTACTCCACCCACCTATGTTCTGTCCTATCAGGCCAAGCAGTTTCTTTATTAACCAATGAAAGTAACATATAGACAGATGACCGAACTACATCACTTACCTTCCTTCTCTCTGTCTCTGTCTCTCTGTCTCTGTCTTTCTTCCTCTGTGTCTCTGTCTCTCTGTCTCTGTCTCTCTTCCTCTGTGTCTCTGTCTCTCTGTCTCTGTCTCTCTTCCTCTGTGTCTCTGTCTCCTCTCTCT